ACTAGAAATCACGGGGCCCCATACAAAATGTTGCTATGGGCACAATTTTGCTTAGGCACAATTAACATTTTTAGATGTTCGCCATAACATAGGTAAACAATAGTTTTTTTTTTCTCTTTGCTGTCTTTGTTGCCAGTATTTCTTGCCACTGTTGCTCTAAGTTTACTAAATTAGAACCTATCCAGCAACTACCAGGAACCCTACATGTATCATGATGAATTCATTCTAAATACATGTTTCTAAATAATGTTAATAATAATACTTACAAAAACATATTTACCTTGTCATAAAACACCTGTCTATACAATTAATCTCAAAAGTAAAAATCTAAATAAATGATTACTAAATTAATTCATAAATACAAACTTAATATAACCCTGTGCTGACTAAAAAATAATGGTAGCCAAATATAGAGCAATTATATATTCGATAGTATTTTCGATTGATTTGCAGATTGAGAGAAAAGTTACGATTAGACAATTGATTAATCATCAATGATTAAATGAAATGCAATTGGCCCATATAATTGAAGCCGATCAACAACACGATGAGAAAAAAAAAACATTTTAAGCCCTGGTGGAACTGTTGCAAGGTATATCACACCTCCTGCCAACCCCCACAAATGAATAAAATGAAGAATCATTTAAATAAACAAGATTACAGAAAAAATATTGTTTGAGGTGCCATACACATAACAAATATATTGTTTTACCTGCTTTCATGTGATCAGGTCACACTGATCATAACAATTTAAATGGAACTAATCAGGTTTGATCTAAATCGATCGATGACACAGTACATGACTTTTCGATAATTAACAAATTCAATCATATTGTTCGATTCTGTACGATGTGCATGCTTGCCATAGGCAAAGCAATGCTGAAGATTTGCAACAGCGCACAGCACAGCCCGACTGCTCAGGGCACCACTTCACCCTCATAAAAAAATTGAAAACGTCTGTTGACTGTATCCATCAACATCCCACAATACAGGAGCAACCTACTGCTGGGCCGGGCTCTGTCACAGGAGAGCTGAAGCTAGACCTCTTCATATATTTAATTAGAACATGTCAGTATTTGCTTATCTTTATCAGAGTCTTAGGCCTCGTTTAGACCTTCTCAGAAGCTGGTGAAGCAGCGGCTGCCAGGCGTTCAGGAGGAGATACTGCTGCTTCCTGATTGCAGGTTTTCTTTTAAATCCCAACAAGATTGAAATGCTATGCCACAATTACATACCCGTACCAATTAATTCCAATTGTCGCATTTGACAAGCCGCACCACCTTTTAAAAGCAATATGCTATATATATTTTTGCTGCGCTGCAATGCACTGTGCGGCCGAGGTACTACCGTTGCAGCGGGTGGCTGGGAATGGTAAAACCGCACAATGCGATTTTACCACCCATGTGAACTAGGCCTTAGACAGTGCACTGAGTAGGTAAGAGAAGCAGCGTAGGTAGGGACGGGGAAACTGCTGCCAGGGCAGGATTTACTCTCTCTGCTGCCCCAATGCTAGGTTCCTCAATGCGCCCCCCTGTATGCAGGCTGCATACAAGTGATCTTGGCGACATCACTGAGATCACTTGTTCAAAACGGGCGGTGGCTTCCCTGCTGTACATTTAGCTCTGCTTGCCCAAAGCAGGGCTAAATGTAGAAAACAACTACCTGCCCGGCACCCCGGAACTGCATGTCCCGGGCTTCGGAAGATAGGAATTCCACACCCCCTGCTGCCCCAAGGCCGGGCCTTGGTTGGCCTTGTGGGAAATCCGGCCCTGCCAGCTGCACAGCTTCCAGGTCATTTTGCTGAATTATTCCTCAGTATGGGGCGGCTTTAAGAGTGTCCACTTTTTGTATCTTAGTGATTTCTGTCAATAAAATATACAGACTTATTAAAATACCTTTAATCAAGAAACTCTAACTGATTGCATGACAGCACATTTAACCCCATATATTTCTATAGTTACATAGTAGATAAAGTTGAAAAAAGACACAGGTCCATCAAGTTCAAGCTCTGTATGTGGTTGGACTGGAAGGACCTGTGTCTTTTATCAACCCTATCTACTATGCAACTTTGTAACTACCATGAATGTATTTACTTGTCAGCAATAGGAAGAACATATGTTGCCAAACATACAGATGCTCAAATGCTTGTCCAGTTACAGACCGATGTCTCGGAAAACAAGCTAAGATATCAGCTATCAGACAGGCCCAAACACTAACAGTGACATACAGGTCTCAGCTCTGTTAGGCGGTTATGACAAGCTATGGAGAAATATGGTAAACGGCCAAGAAGGAATAAAGTGACAAAAGGGAGAAAATGGGGAAAATAATTATTCTACAGGGTTGCCTAATGCACTGGGCTGTAGGAGGAAAAAGCAGAACGGAGGGAATAAACACTGTGCCAGCCCTGGAAGTCAGCTAATAAAAAGTGACATTTCCCCTGATCTATTCTGAGCAGTTATATGAGGATTAATGAAACAGAGGTTGCAGGTATGACCTCTGCCTATTTTTTTAAATAAACGTGGAGCTCAACTAAGCACTGTTTGCATCATAACAAATCACAGAATCAAACCGCTGTACCATTTCAGAAAAAAACCGCAACCCTTTTTGTGAAAAACAATGGGGGGAATTTATCAAAACTGGAGCAGATAGAATCTGGAACAGCCAATCAGCTTCTCTCTTCAGTTTGTTCAGTTAATCTTTAAAAATGAAAGATATAAGCTGATTGGTTGCAATGCACAGCTGCTCCAGGTTCTTTCTGCTCCAGTTTTGATACATTTCCCCCAATGTGTGCTGATGGTGTCTCCATGCTGATAACACGCAAACTCACTCCTCCTCCTCAACAAATGTTAACTTTTGAAGGTAGGGGTAAGTACAGACACTTCGTGCCTCCCACTGAATCTAAAGGATTTTAAAGCTGAACTCAAAAACCTTAATTTAAGTATACGCTTTATTGATCACAAAGGATATGAATCCACTGTGTGCACCAAATGTGGTTATTGACTTGTAAAAGCACTGAAATCAACACTGTACTATACAAAGCATGTGCAAAGAGCAGATCTGTGGGAGGGACCCAGCACGCCCCATCCACTACAGGATGCCTGTAGGAAACTACAGGTGGGGGCGGATACAAGACCAGTCACCCTGCACAAGAAGCGAGAGCAGCAGTGACCGGTCTTTATTACAGGAAGCTCCTGCACAGAGGAAAATGTTCACACTGGATTACTGCACAGATCTGGAAGAAAGACACAGAGCACACCAAAATTCAGTTAAGAATACTCATGATTCTTGAATTTAGACCATATTTTTTTAGCCCAGAGTTCAGGCTTTAAAGCACAGAGAACACTGGCAACAAATTATTCTGGGTGTCTGGTTTAGAAAAACAGCTAATCTGCATATCAGCAGATAAGAGATGAAATTGTGCAGATATTATATTTCAAGATCTAAATAGTTCATCCATCGTAAACCATACGATACCTTATGCTTAGACCAGAATTTGTTAAATATCTTCCTTTTTCAGTGTATTTGACAGGAAAGGATTGTAGTTTATATGTAAACATAGAGAAATATTTGTCAATGTCAGCCAATGGGTTTTTGCTCTATGCAGATGAGTGTATTTAGGTTACAGCGAGGAGCTGTCAAGTTGGGAAGGGGCGTTGCATGCAAATTACTTATGATAAGCACAGCTGGATGCTCTCTAAGGTATAATATTTATAGAACAGGACAGCAGAACTCTGGGCAGCCTTCTATGACATTTTGACAGCACTCGCTACGAACTATTCAGCAATGATTCCCCCCCAAAAAATATACATTCTGCAGGTTATTCCTTAAACGCTAGCAGAGCACGAAGGTAACAGACCGCCCTCAAAAGTCTCTTACGCCTTCAGATATGGTTAACAGAAACCAGCCACTTCTTCCCATGCATTAGCCAGCATAATATTTAGTGCAAACATGGCAGGAATGATCAGCTTGGGGCCAGGCAAGCAGAGAGGGAACTGACATGGCAAAACTGCTCTGTCTAGTTGTAGATGAAATCTACAGATCCCCAGTTGTTATCAGTGAGAGTCTCCAGCCCTTCCATGGACTGTTACTAAGCTGCAGCCATGGTTTAGGCTGTCGATTGATTAACCCTCAGACACAGTATATCCTTTATAGAGCCTGATATTATAGATCCCTCTGGATGTGATCAGCAGTTCTACAGACAAGATCACAATACAGCAGCAGTAAAATCCATCTAAGTTCCCCTTCCCCCGCCCACATGAGCATGTGTCCAGCATTACAGGAATGTATGACAGGAGGGAGAGGAGGGGATCTGAGTGCCCAGTGCTCAAAAACCCCCCCCCCCCAAAAAAACCAAAAAAACATCTCATTAATCTACATGAGATGCTGCCTAGCTGCTGGTACCCAACACAATGCCTAGCCATAATCAATATGTCCTACAGTGATGATGGGGCAGACAGAGGTTAATGAATGCACCTCATCACCAGCTCAGCTTTCCATTTAAATACATGCCAATGGACTTGCCTTAAAACACATCCATCTATCCCAACTTTTTGAGACCAGAAGGAAGCCCAATACTAGCACAAAATATGTATAGACATGACACACCCCCAGTTACATGGATTACAAAGAACTAAGAAACATATATAGACATATACGTTTTAGGTTTTCACCACTACTTTTGTTTTGTTCTTTATTTCCACACCATCAAACTAGAGGATGAAAGGTTTGATGTAGCATAACAGTAAAATAATAAACATGATGTATAAAGACTATTTCCAAACATCACAGCAAAACTACTGACAGCTAAGCAGAAAACGGAGTCAGAGGGACCCAAAAGAGGGAAAGTCCTCCAAATGAAGGACAAGCTAGTAGCTGCCTAGGCTGATGGTTCCTCACCTGTCAAAGTGACAGTCAACTTTGTAAACACAACTCCAGGCACATCATGCAAAGTAAAGCTCTCAAGCCATATGTCATTTCTAAGTTCCCCCTGGGGCTCCTACCTGCTGGAGATCGTATGTGGTGGTGGTGGTGGTGGTAGTGATGGTGGTTGTAATCACTGGTGGTCGGACTGTTTACTCTCCTTCTTGCCCCTGCTGGAGGACTGTGGGGTTGCCTTGCTCCCTCTGGGGGGTTGTTGTCATTTCTTTCCACGCCTGGCACACGCAGGGCAGGAGAAAGGTGGTGGTAATGATGGTGAAGATGAGGTGGTGGTGGTGGTGTCTGGAGCTGGTGGTGAAAGTGAGGCACCCCGGGCATGCCATGCTGCTGTTGTTGGTTCATGGTGAATCCAGACCGAGATCTGGATCTAGTCCTTGGGGGCTCCAGGAAAGCTGGGAATAGGAAGGAAGGAGCAATAGGAGGTGGAGGAGGTGACGGGGGAGAGGAAGCCGAGGAGAGAGCCTGGAACAGGGAGGAAGGGAAAGAGAAAGACGGGGTGACCTGCAGAACAGGAGGGTACTGGGGGGAGGAGGCAGAGGCAGCACTGAGAGCCAGCAATGTGCTGCTACTGCTGCTGAGCCCAGCTTCTCTGCTGGTGGCCGCTGCAGCCTCGGCCCCTGCTTCAGCCTGCCTGGGATCGAGGCAAATCGGGAAAGGCAACAGCCCACCTCCTCCTCCACCACCACCCCCGCTGTCACCGCCTCCCACTGGCTGCTGCTGCTGCTTGGGGTCCCGTAGTCTGTCTGCCTGGACCGGATGACAGCGACTGTACAGGCTGGAGTCCGGAGGGGAGGGCTGCACCGAGCTGGAGGCGATTGGCATCACCTCCGATCTGGACACAATGCCAGCTGACAGATCACTGCAGCTCAGGCAAAGCACATCCAAGTTCCTCCTAAATCCAGGGTGGTCTTAGGAAGGGTCAAGGAGAGACGTGGCCAAGAAAATCAGAACAATCCAACGTAGAGCACAAAGTCCCTGCCACCAGCAAGCAAGTCGTCAGTTTCTTAGAGAAATAGCCAAAGTGCATCGGAAGTGTCCAGGATCGGCGTGTCTGTGTGTGTATAAAAGAATGGGGGTGTCTATTCCCAGCCTTGGATCTCAACAACTCTTTCCATAAATCCAGCAGCGTTTCCAAAATCCACAAGGCAGTGACACTCCATACACCACACTGCCCCCCCCCCCCCTTCCCTGCTCCCTTTGGCTGGGAAGGGGAAGCTATGCTTTAGGGAAGGGATGGGTGGAAGAAATAAGGATCACAGGATAAGAATACGCCTCTCTGCTTTTTTTTTTTTTTTCTCCCCTCCAGCACACAGGATGATTCCAAATCAAATATCTTATTAAAGACACAAGGGCAACGCAGCACCTCTTTCTGTTGTCTGCCTTCAATGTCGATCCGTTCAGCCCATTCACTTTTTATTCTCTCCTTGATTCTAGCGACGTGGTGGTCCTCTTTACACCTTTGGAATCCCTGCTGAGGATTCCCTGGTCTGTATGACTTGTTCCCTACGAGTTCTTCTCTTTATGATGTCACTAAGGCTGAAGAAATGAAAGTATCTATGAGAGCGCTGAGCTGTGTTGTGTCTGTCTCTCCCTATCGGCCTCAGTATAAACGTTACAGCACAAGGCTAAACTCCACTTCCGTACCAGCCCCAGTGCACCCAGTTCAAGCACACACGCAGTGCAAGCAAGGCCAGCAACTACTAAGCAGCTGCTGCTCTGTCTTTTACCATATCATCTCAGGTCCTGATCACATATTCACCATTCTGAAAAGACACTAAGGCTCTGTGTTCTACTCAGAGAATGTCTTCCTTCAAATATATGATCCCAAGTCCTGATTCCATATTCACCATTCTGAAAAGACACTAAGGCTCTGTGTTCTACTCAGAGCATGTCTTGCCTCTAATATATGATCTCAGGTCCTGATCACCTATTCACCATTCTGAAAATTTACTAAGGCTCTGTGTTCTGCTTTTAGAATGTCTCCCTTTTACTATATGATCCTAGGTCCTGATCACATATTCACCATTCTGAAAAGACACTAAGGCTCTGTGTTCTACTCAGAGAATGTCTTCCCTCTACTATATAATCCCAGGTCCTGAGTCCATATTCACCATTTTGAAAAATCACTAAAGCTCTGTTTTATTTAGATATTTTCCTACCTCTACTATATCAACTCAGGTCCTGATTAAATATTCACCATTCTAGTCACTAGTTGTGATGGAGTTTGAGTCGGGACTAATGCAGGCTTCAACGGTGGACTTAAGGGTTCCAAAATGAATCCCCCATAACTGCGGTCAGGTGCAAGTCTGGCCAATAATGTGGTTTTAACAATGTGCCAAGCCCCTTACTATAAAAGGCTTCTCTCCCATCAGCCTTTTATCATAGTTACATGGTTACATAGTAGGTGAGGTTGAATAAAGACACAGGTCCATCAGGTTCAACCTACAGTATATTAGATTACCAGGTTCAAACTATATAGTGCAGTGGTCCCCAACCCCCGGTCCTGCAATATGGGGCAGTGCAGGGTCCCGGTATGTGTGTGTATACTGTATACTTCAATAACCCTATATGTTTTGTGAACTGAGGAACTCATCAAAGTGCTTTTTGAAGACGTTCATTCTTCCCACTGATACAGCTTTCTGTAAGCGTAAGAGGTATTTCATCTCTTAGATGAAATACCTCTTACGCAGTTTACGAATATACCTCCTCCCCTCCAACCTCTTGTTGTGTCCTCACATATTCCTTGAGGTATTTGGTTTAAGCAGTGCATTTCCAATACTGCAGTCCCCATTGATGAGATTGTAAACTGCGTGCGATCATGTCACCTCTTAAGCATCTCTTCTCTAAGGAGAACAATCCGAATTTTTGTAGGCGTTCTTGATAACTGAGAACCTCCTTCCTCCTTATTAATGTGGTTGTCCTTCTCTGAACTTTTTCTAGCTCACGGACATCCCACCTAAGGATTGGTGACCAGAGTTAAACCACATACTCAAGATGGGGGCCTTACCAGTGTTTTGTAAAGTGGCAAAATTATATTTCTGTATTCAATAAATCCCTCTTTTAATGCAAGATAATATACTACTGGCTTTATTAGCTGCAGCTTGACACTGCATGCTATTGCTGAGTCTGTGGTCTTTAAGGACCCGAAGATTATTCTCCATCTCCGATTTCCCCAGTGAAACCCCACCCAAGGTGTATTCAGCATGCATGTTCTTAGCTCCCATGACTTTACATTTTACTAGATTAAAGCTCATCTGCTACATCACTGCCCACTCTCCAATTTTATCGAGCTCTTGCTGTAATGATTCTATGTCTTGTTGTGATCTTATTTCCCTCCATAACTTTGTATCGTCAGCAAGCACTTACAGGGAGCTATTTATTCCAACCTCAATGTAATTTATGAACAGGATAAACAGAATTGGCCCCAAAACTGAACCCTGGTGCACTCCACTCACTAGTTTTAGAGAATTAGCCATTTATCCCTACCCTCTGCATGCGGTCCTGCAACCAGTTTTCTTTCCAATTCTGTTGATCCTGTTCATAAATTACATTGAGGTGGGAATAAATATCTCCCTGTCAAGTTCTTCAAAGCCCATCGACCTTGGCTTGTAAACTAACCAATTGTGGGGTACTGTGTCAAATGCCTTTGCAAAGTCTAGAAAGGCTAAGTGAACTGGGACTCCCCTGTCTACCTTACAACTTACTTCCTCATAGAATGTTAACAGATTTGTCTGGCAAGAACGGCCTTTCATAAATGCGTGCGGCTTCTTGCTTATGATATTGGTGTTGGTGTTAAGCTGGCCATACATTGCTCAAATTTCAGCCGTGGCCCTGCTGGCACCACTCCATTCGGCAAAACAATTTTCTTTAGGAGCTAGGCAGAAAACTGTTGGCTGAATAGTGACTACAGCCAATCAGCTGCAGCCACTGTTCATGTTCTCAGACAGCAGTGGGTGCTGACTGCCAGAATTGCTTCCAGAATACAATAGCCAGCAGGGGTGTTTCCCCCATTGACTCTGTTTAGCTTGGATGGGAGAGTTGAACGTTTTTGGGAGAATAAGTGCATCATGACTGAGAAATGCATTGGAGTATGTGTGTACCACCTCATTGTATCAACAACAACAAAAACCTAACAGTCTTTTTTAGGACTACTTTTGTTTTGTTTTTAGGTACTGTTCTCTATGGTTTTTGTTGTTGTTAGTGTTTTAGTTTTATCATGCGTGGTCAATCTACAAGTCATTTGGGCACTAAATGCCTGAGGATACACATTCTGTTTACCTAAAAGCTTGGTGAAAGCAGCACATGTATGATACCAGTTTGCAGCAATGCCCACACTCCTCCTTCAACACTCCTCCTTCACGCTCCTTTCTTTCCACCTTTGCTCCCACTACACAAGAATCACCATCTGCAGCCTGAAGCTTGGGGCTAAATGAGAAACAATGGTGACTGTATGGTTAGGGTTACAATGGGTTTGAGAGGTTTATGGCACTTCCAGCAGGCAAGAGGACCAGCATGGGGCCACGCTTTGAATTTCCAAACTCCACCCTACCATAGCTATGTCCTTGACTAGTGTCTTGTCCTCAGCTACTACTAACAGCAAATTCATTTTTGAGGTATGTTATAGGCTGTCCAACGTTGAGGTAGAGAATGAGAAGACTGTACGTTCACAGATAGAATTAGCTGGAAAACAGGGTAATGGGATTTTTATGGGGGACTTCAACTTTCCAGATATTGATTGGACTAATGGTACTGCATTTTTAACTGAGGCTTTAATGAAAGGATTCATTAGTGGTTGGCCACCCTTTTGGATGCATGTTATAAGGGGAAAATGCCAGAGCTCATCCTATAGGCAGCACCTGAACCAATAAGGTGTCAAGGCTGTATGTCGACACACTCAGAATGGATGACCCCCTTGACTTCTGGGTAATGAGATGGTTGTGACTGAAAAAAAGAGTCTGCCTGTGCACACAGACGGTTGGCCAGCTAACATTAATATTAATGCACCAGTTCTGTATCAGCAATGAGTACCAAGACACTGCTGCTGATACTAACAATCACATTTTTGTTTGAATCTGGCCCCCAACAACATTATAATAACTTAAAGTGTAAGCATCTGCTGCCACCATTGTAGGCATGCCACAAATACAATATCCTGTAAGCATTCTGCTACCATTGACAGCTTCCTCTACCGCTGCTGCCACAACACTATAAATATCTCCTGCCACTACTGCAGGCCTACCATCATTACTATCTCGTGCTGCTTCAAAATCGTCGTCCGGTGCGATGGCACTGATAAGGTGCCACACCAAAGGTTTCACAGTTGTTTCTCAGTGATAAAAACGGTTAAATTTTTTCTGCAGGGTCAATTCTGAATTACGCACCAATTTTTGCATTGGATTACAGTACTTTGGCACTAAAAACAACACCTAATATAAGTCATTTGTTATG